ACCTGTTACTGGAAAACGTTACTTTAATGCACACAGCTAATCAGATCTCCAGTGGCCAATCAGAAGTTCTGCTGGGCAGGAGCCCCGCCCACTTTCTCTAAGCACTTGCTGGGTGCCAGGGAAGGTGTCAGCAGGTGCCCCGACACCCACGAGCACCACGTTGGGAACCCCCCTGCCCTAGGTGATGGGGGTTTGCTAACAGCACCTCACATGCAGGAAGTGGTAACGATGCACAGTCTAAAGTCCCCCTACTCAAAAGAGAGACTGGGAACAAATGTGGTGGTCTCCCAAACAAGTAGGAGGCCTGGAATTAGGCACTGCTGGTGTGCGAGGGGTGACAGCTGTGGCTAAATGGAACCTCCAAGATCAGAGGTACTATACCGCTGAGTACCTGGCACTGAAGACAAATGGGAAGACCTTCAGCTGGGAGACAATTTAGTGTGGTAGTTAGGAGCATGAACTGTAATCTGGGAGAACCAGGTTTAATCTCCCCACTCCTACATGCAGCTGCTGGTGTGACCTTGGGTCAGTCGCAAGTTCTCCCAGAGCTGTTCTCTCACGAGGAGTTCTCAGAGAACTCTCTCAGCCCCACCTACCTCACAGGGAAGGGAAAGGAGATTGTAAGCTGCTCTGAGACTCCGAGTGAAGGGTAGGGGTGCAGTTCTAGCCTCTTGTCGGTGTGTTCGTTTGCACATGCACGGGCTAACGCTCTTATTTTCCTTCCCAATCAGAGCACGCTGCCCCTTCTGAATTCAGGATTCAAAACCATGCCCTTTTAGCCTTTAGAGCAGGGATGTCAAACATGCGGCCCAGGGACCACATCAGGCTGCCGGAGGGCTTCTATCAGGCCCGCAGTGGAACTGGCTGTCTTCTGCTTCTTCTTCCAGTTTTGCTGCTGTTGCGTCATCGTAGGTTTGTAGCTTACAAATACACACCTGAACAGCATACTCAAGATTGCAACAGCACAGACATTTTGATGCAATAATTCAGAGCAAGCGGTGTCAGTTATCAGTTACTGTTGAATAAACAAAATGTTGCTAGAGTGTTAACATTTTAGGAATGTTTTTATTTTAAGTTTTAAAAAACACCTTTGTGTTTGTGTCCTTTATAAAGTTTATGTCTCTGCTACCTGGCATTACATTTTATGACACACATGGCCCAGCCCAACAAGGTCTCATGTATGTCAGATCTGGCCCTCATAACAAATGAGTTTGACACCCCTGCTTTAGAGAATGCACCAGCCTCATGAAGAAGCAGAATACTGTTAAAGGGCGGCCAACAAGGGGGTGTGTGTGTCTCTTTAATAGAGGCTTAATAGGCTGTTGGAGCTGCGGTGGCTCAAATGGTTAAGACGCTGAACTGCAGGCTGTGGAAGGTCAGTAGTTCAGCAGTTCGAGACCCGAGTGTACCGCATGACGGAGTGAGCTCCCGTCTCTAGTTCCAGCTCCTGCCAACCTAGCAGTTCGAAAGCAAGAAATTGCAAGTAGATAAATAGGTACCACTTCGGTGGGAAGGGAACAGCGTTCCGTGCGCCTTGGTGTTTAGTCATGCCAGCCACATGACCACGGAAACGTCTTCGGACAGCGCTGGCTCTTCGGCTTTGAAACGGAGATGAGCCAATCTCCACAGATTAAGCCTCAAAGGGAAAGGACATTTTTCTCCAGGCCTGTTGGCATCCCCACCTGTTGGTGAGGTAAATGCCCACCAAATTAGGGTTCCCAATCTCCAGGTGGGGCCTGAAGTTGTCCCAGAATTACAACTGGAAGTTGGACTCCATAGCATTACTTCCCTGAAGGGAGAGAGCAGATGTGGGCCTCTGTGTGAAGAAAATTGTCCTGGCAAGACAGAGAAAAATAGAGACTGGTGTGAGTTACCTTCTGGCAACCCCCATGCACCCAATTACCTGGTTGCCAACCTCCAGACTGGGCCTGGAGAAAAGGAAGAGGGAGGAGGGCAAGCGTGGCCAGTGAGAAATGTAAACATGGAAAGGATGGGGTTTGTAGCTTTCTTGTCTGCATTTCTCCCCTAGTTCTTATCCCCCCCTCCCCCCGGTTAAACCTTTTCTTCATCCATCTTCTCCCTCTGGGCCTGGGTGATTTTTAAGCAGCGCCGGGAGGGGGGATCCGTGGGGGTCAAAATGCAATGCAGGAAGAGGGATTCTTTCTGCCTCTTCTCCCCCCCCCCGCAAATTCTTCTTTCCCGATTGCAGTACTAAAGGCTGGGAGGGTCACGGCAAGAGCGCAGCCTCCCCCCAGCTGTCTTCCACCCACACAAGGCGGTCCAATCCAGGCATCTGCGGTGTTTACTACCGAGTAACCCCCCCTCTCCTGGCCCAGCTGAACTTGGGACTCGATCCCCCTCCCGCACACTTCACCGCACTCGCTGGTGCCTCGTCGCTGTCCTGTTTGGTGCCCCTAACGGCCGGCGTGCTCTAGGCGAATGCCTAGTTTGCCTAGTGGGTGAGCCGGCCCTGCTTGGGGTACAGAATCTCTCTGGAGAGATCCAACATGTAGTAATGCATCTTCTATCTTCTAGCACTGTGATTGTGCCACCATCTGTGGTCAGTGTTCCCTCTAAGCTGAGTTAGTGTGAGTTAGCTCATAGTTTTTTAGCCGCCGGCTCACACATTCTTGTCTTAGCTCAGGAAGGAGGGCTCCAGAGCAAACTAATTCATGCAGCAGCCAAATTGCTTGCTCACAACTTTAATGCCAGCAGCTCACAAAGCAGAACTTTTGCTCACAAGACTCCACAGCTTAGAGGGAACATTGTCTGTGGTCTACTTATATATTCTTTAAAATTTCCTGTTTTGGCTTGGGAAATACCTGGAGATTTGGTGAGAGCTGCATTCTTTTAAAAAATGTTTACGTGACCCAGTAGGGCCCCAGAACAGCTTACATTGTTCTCCTCACCTCCATTTGATCCAGCAGGGCTCTTCTTACACTTTTATCAGGGGAAGGCATAGGTCTCTCTGCCCTGCTGTTGGCCCTCCAGGGGAACTGGTTGGCCACTGTGTGAGACAGGATGCTGGACTAGATGGACCCCTGGTCTGATCCAGCAGGGCTTTTCTGATGTTCTTATCAGGGGAAGGCCTCAGCCTCTCTGCCCTGTTGTTGGCCCTCCAGAGGAACTGGTTGGTAGGCTTCCCAAGTCCCCCCGGGGGGCGGGGAAACCCCCGCCCCAGAGGCCCGTTCCCCGCCACGGGCGGATCGGGCCCCAGGAGGAACCCCACCTCAATGTGCGTGTCACCCGGAAGTGACGTGACGATGCCGGGCACGCTAGGGGCAGGGCCACGGTCATCCAAGGGAAAACTCTATGGTTTTCCCTCGGATGGCC